CCTGCTTTTTTTTTCAAAATTTTTGATTTTTTCTTCTGTAATTGGACGAAAGCGGGATCCGTTCTGGTCACTGATGGTAGCCTGTTAAGCACACCTGCTGTACTAAATTTCAGATCATTTCGTTCAGAAGCATGAGTATGAGTTACGGCAGTTTTCAAAGTGGATCTACAGTTTTGGCCAGCACTGTATCGATTTGCAAGGCCAGAGTGCGTATAACGCATACAGTCATGAGCGCAGAATCCCGCAACGACTCGTCTCTACCTTGCATGCATTTCGTACTCGCCCGAGCCTACCGTAAGATTCGGGCCACTTGAGGGGGGAGGACGATATGTAGACTTCGTAGACTCCCTTCCGCGCTGCAAACTTCTGTTGTCGCTTAGTTAGTGGGTCTACTATTACATTATTACCCGAGCCAGGTACTCCCCATTTGGTGGGCCGTTGCCTTAAAGTAAAGATAGACATACGAAGCACTATCCGATGCAAAATTTCTTCCTCTTTCTAATGGTTATTTTCTTCAGATAACCTCAATGTCCGCTCAATAAGCGGGAGGGATCTCCAACCCATGATTTTCACTTATCTTGAGTTTGTTTTGTATGTTTGATAACAGTTGGTTAACATAAGCAAAATGCAATGCAATACATTTTTTTACCCTCAGAGAACAATGACCGAATAGCAATCAGGGTGTCACTCGATGCAGCTTCTTCTCTTCCTTCTGATAAGCTTCTTTTCTTCCTGATTTGTATAATACCTAAAGATAAAATCATTGTGATTATTGTTTCCAGACTCGTCCCAGGCTATAAATAGAAAAATTGGAATTCAAAATTTCGAACCGCTAAACGCTCAATTGCTCGCTACAATCGTCAAGTGATAAGCTGTTTTAGAAGCCTCAAATTCCAAAAGTTTGTCAGCGTTTGAAGCGATTGTGTGTTTCGCGACTCCGCAAAAGTAAGGGCTTTTGGAAAATTATTTTGAGAAATATCGAAAAGTTGGTTATGGAGCCAAAATAGTTTCATTGTGTTGCGTTCTGTTTATTCTATCCAACTGTTATCAAAGCTAGTAAAAGTTGAAAATGGACCTTTTAATATTATGAACTAGTTGACTTACCCGGCTCCGCCCGGCCCTGTCATTATTATGTTCATAATCAGCATGCTCGATTACCCCCCTGTGCCAACTCCCAGCCCCGTAGCTCAAATTTTGCAAAAAATCGATAAAAATCGATGTCGATCGATGACGAAAAGTAGCCTATGACACCCGCCCCGCCCCGAAGTGTATATGTGCCAAGTCTGGTCCGGATCGGTTCAGAAATGGAATTTTCTATTCGGAACATACGTACGTACAGACAGACAGACATACAGATATACAGACGTGCAGACAGACAGACAGACAAACAGACATTCAGCTTTATATTATATATAAGATATCCAGACTCTAGATGGGTGAAAATCATGAGTTGAAGATTCCTGCCAATAATCAAGCGGACATCGAAAGAATCTGAACAAAATCATAACCGTTAGAAAGAGGAAGAAATTCTGTATTAAACATTCTTTAAATGTCTATTTTTATTCTAAGTGGTTTGAGCATGGGTCTGAGGGACAGCGCGAACTTCGGGCCGACCTAATACATACAGGGTGTCCTAAAAGATGTGCACACTGTTTGATCGTTAGTACCCTATTTTAAGGTCTATAAGCCGCGGGATGGTCCTAGCTTACATCGACAAGGCCGAACACATCAAAGGACCTCGCAACCAAAGGACCCTACACCGTGCTGCTTATTGCCCTAAAGAATCGTGCGGCATAAGATTTGCTTCTCGAAACACAATGAAGCGGCTGAGCAGCTCGTGGGAAAATGTGAAAAAGTGCGGCTTATACACCTGAAAATAGGGTGACTTCCTTGCTTTGATTCTTTCGCCGACTCTTGAAGAATTTGTGGAAAAGTCGAATGCTTGCATTGAGAGGCGGGCATTCCATAAGAAAGATGACCCATCCAGAATGATTTATCTATCCAAAATTCAAAGTTTGCAAACTGAATAGTTTGATGAACAGTTGTGCCATTTTGGATAACATTTCGAGATCACTCTGTAAATGCGTATGTGGATGCTGATTATGATTGTGTTAGTATTTTCATCAACTGTATAGATTATCTATTGACATACAAGGTTCTCTCGGTCTCCGTTTACATACAATGTTAGAATTTCATCCCACCTGTAGCGCATTTCCCTATCCTTCTATCTTCTGTGTATCGCTTTCTTGCGCCCATAGTCTGTTTATATCAATTCCCATTTCCTAGTCAAAGTTTGCCAAATCTCATATATAAAGCTGAATGTCTGTTTGTCTGTATGTCTGTATGTATGTCTGTATGTATGTCTGTCTGACGTATTTTCCAAATAGAAAATTCCCTTTGTGAACCGATCCGGACCAAACTTGGTACACATACACTTCGGGGCGGGGCGGGTGTCATAGGCTACTTTTCGTCATCGATCGACATCGATTTTTATTGAGTTTTTGCAAAGTTTGAGCTACGAGGCTGAGAGCTGGCATAGGGGGTAATCAAGCATGCTGATTACGAATACAATATTAGTTTTTGGAATTACCCATTAGTTCTATCGATTTTACCGATTTTTTGTAAATTTAGCTACGGGCGTGGGAATTCGCACAGGGATAAGTAAGCATGCTGATAATTAGTGCTGATAATTACTAGTTAATTAACACATTGACGACCGCCTGACACACATGGTGTGTCAAGCAATGACTACCGCGTGGGACCGCTTGACACACCATGTGTGTCAAGGATTGAATTTTGTTAAAGTAACAACTATACTTCGATAAACAAATTTCACGAGCTTTCTTCTGCACTGAGTTTAGGGATGACCTCTACCGTTATTTTCAGCCTTTCAGATCTACTGTAGGTGTACTGTAGATGGCAGTATGCGTAATTATAGTTGAAAAATGGGGCTGGTTTTTAAAAGGACTAGGTCCCAGAAGGCAGACAGCTAAAATTCTGCATGGTCGTCAGTGTGCTAACAAATTTAGCCAATCAATGGAAGGTAACCTATTTTATCCGTCCCGTTGCTAATCATATGTTGTGAAGTTCGGTGCGGAATTTAAAAGCGAATTTTGACCTGGACCATCAAACATAGTACATTCTTACAGACATCGCTCATAAATGAATATCTAGCATGTTCGCTTCGCTTGATCTCTGACAACATACCACAAAAAACATTTCGTCGCATTTTTATGCAAAATCTCCGTACCCTTTCTAATTATCGTAGGCATTTCTCCACCAACACTGTGTATATTTGCAAGATGCTCTTTAATCCAAATTAAGATACACCTCGTTTGCAAACTATCGAACCAATGAATACGATGGACAATCTTGTGGATGAATAATGCATTCGTGGCCAGCATGCTCAGTTCCCTATACCAACTCCCAGCGTAGCTCAAATTTTGTCTGATTGTTTGAAGTTGTTGCATCGTCTGCAGTGATATTGGTCTCGGAAATGAAGGGTTCTTGCTCGGTTGACACCAAAATCGATGAAACGCTCACTCGGAAATATTTATTGGCCGAAATTGATGCATTGCTTCAGTGGTTCCACGTTCTGCAATGATGCACATCACATCTCCAAGCAAAGTATGACTTAGTCGAGAGGTTGAAAAGATCTCTTTCGCGTCAAAAGGATGAACGAAGTCGCTTGTGACGGTCACATAGAGACGCTTCCATAAAATTACGAGTGATTAAAGAGTAAAATCTTTCTTTGTACCTTTGCAGAGAGAGCCCCTCAACTACACGTGCAAGGAACTTGTACGGATCTCGAAGACTACCGCCAGAATAGGATCTTGAGGTGGGCCTGAATGTGAATAATTCATCTGCTGCAAGTGATAGCGAGCAGGGGCGCTCGATACAGTGAATGGCAATAAAGAATTGTTTTTCATCCCCCCCCCCTCCCCCTCACCAATTTGCAGTGAAAGACGCTTACTTAGACAAGCCTTTCGAAAAGAGGCATACTATGTTTGGAAGCAGCTTGAAAAGCTGATTTTGAGTATGCTGTTCCTAGCTGCGGCTATTGAGCTAATGAACTATTTTAAAGCGAGTTAATGAATTTTTTGTGTGCGAAATTTGCATGCTCATCGGCTTACTGACCACGGTATCATCATCTAAGTGCTAAAGAATTGCGTTGATTTCCCATTTGACAAAAGACCGTTCTGATGTTGTTTCAGCACTTTAAAGCAAACTTCTTTCTACATGCGATCTTTCCATGTTGAATATAAGCCAAGCCATTTAGCAATTAAAGGTCGTGAATGCTCAGAATAATGCTCGCAGTTGGAACAGCGCAATTGTTATCAGCGTACTAAGCTAATTTAAGTTGCATGTGCCTTTTTTGGAAGGGCAATAAAACAGCAAATAGGTTGGCTTTTCTTGCCAGTAAACAGCTTTTAGGAGAACATAGAAGCGTGGATTTCTGAAACAGGCGAAAGAGTGTTGAAAGACGCAAAAGCGGGTGTGAAAGGACACCATATGTCAAAAGTGTTGACCGAAAACGCGATCTCAGCATCTTTCTCCTTCCGCTCACACAGTTTTGTCTTCACTTACCGAAGAATATGACAGTACCCTGCAGGCTATAGCACAGGCTTCTCAAGATGCGCTGATACGTGCCGAAATTTTGAAAAGTGTAGGAAGAGATTGCCGTTTGGTAGACATTTGTTACTCATTTTCACCCAATTACTTTACTTCGCCCAGGTAAAGGCGCACTATCTAACGCCCAAGCGCACCACTGTAACGCTTGATAAGCAAGGTACTGAAAGGGTAAAAGTTGGTAGCTAAAGCCAAAATCTGAACGCTCTCAACATCAGTCAAAAAATAATGATTGGTCCAGTTGTTTGCTTGGACTCAGACAAAGATGCGGCATATTGTATGAATCACCAATGCAACAAGTTGCTTCAAATTTTTATCAGAGAACACATTCATATTTCAAAATAGATATGATGCGGGCAGGAACGACTAAATTAGTTGGATTTTCTTCTTTGATGACTCTGAAAATAGAGTTTGATATTATATGATCCTAGATTTTTCAAGAAATGATTAGAAAATAAATCTGGCTTACTATTGCTGCTTCAGTAAGGGGTCTCAGTAGTATGGTATCCAAGTCCAGATAATAACTGGAATCAAATATATTATGAATGACCTAGCCGCAGCACTGCCGTTACTTGGTATAAAAGGCAGAAATGACTACGGTGCTTTGTTATAAGGCTAGCGAAACTTCTGTCTGACAGCCATGTTTAGCCCTGTGAATGGACTTAGCCAAAACTATTTCTCTCTATAGGATGTTAGATGTATAATGAGGCTTAGCCCAGTGTGAGTCTGAGCTCCTCAAGCAGAAAGCGAAATTAATGATATTAGACCCCTCTCCTATATTCATCTGCCAAATTAGCCTTCAATACGAAGAGCAAAAAAATTACTAGATCGATAGAATATACCAAGAATTTTCAAGCTAATGTTAATTATGACATCTGTTTCATTTCTACACGCATGCAGATTTGATACCTCTGTCAATTATTTGATGCCGTCATACCCATGTACCTTAGATTGATACACATTAATTATCATTTCTGGAGCTTTTGCGATATCAGTACCCAAACCTCATTGGTCTGTACTTACTTGATTGTTCCGTTGTTGTTGTTGGAGCGGTTGTTGTGGCTGAATGGAAAGTGTAAATATTTGTACAATATGAAGTTTTCGAACAGTATGCAAAAACTCTTACTGGAAGGTTCTCTCTGGCAAAGAGGGCCAACGGCGTCACCAGCTGTTTCACAAACAGCGCCTTTGATTACTTTGTTACACGGACTATTCTTAGTACATCCTTTCTTGCCCGTCGAGTCTGCCGAATACAGTGGCTCATTCAGCTGCGGCCTAGAAAAGTTTGTGTGAATGAAGACAAAAGGTGTGTTGGTTATTATAGATAATAGATTTTATTAACAGAATGACTAAGGAAGTCTAATGTAAGGTTTAGAAAAATAGTCTGCTTAAGGCCTCGGGCAGAGTTCACGCGATTTGATCGTCTTAATTCAATTGCTACAGAAAAATGTTACTAGTTCATTACGTGCCGATCTTCTTGCATTTCGGTTGTTATAGTTTTCCAACACGACCAATCGTGACTAACTATCACGACCGAAATACAAGAAGATCGGTTCACAATGAACTCGTAACACTTGTCTTGTAGCGATTGAATCGCGACGACCAAATTGCGTGAACTCCGAGGCCTAATGCAACGCCGCCTTCAACAAAAATGACTGGGAACTGCATGTATAAGTAAAGGTACGTGTAGCCAGATCATGAGATTGACATAAAACCCTTCTGCTGCCGGTTGAATGTGGTATGCTTGCCAGTTTTGAGCAAGTGCTTGGTACAGACTATGTTTGTCAGCTTACTTGTTCTCGTATACACACGCGATAGCAACTTTGCCGTTGGTCTCACAGAATTGGTAGGAGCACCCGAACTTCATCGTCTTGTTATAGATCATCTAAAAGTTAAGCTTCTCATAAAGATCAAAATGTCCTTCCTTCAAGTGAGTTTGGTCCGGTATCAAAATTATTATAGAGACCTACATTAGCAAAAGGTTCTATAGACGTGTCTGTGTACATGACATCCGAGCTCAAAGGACTTTCGACAGTGTCACTCCAATCTTCGACGGCCCACTTGAGCATCTCAGCAAGCTTTTTGTTACCAGGCTTACTTTCTGCTCTGTATCTGAAAAGTACTAAGTGAGTCGTAAAACCTTGATGTTTTTCTCGACCAATAATCACATGTGGACCAATGCATGCTTACGTTATAAAGTTTTCTCCTCTTCCTATCACGCTCATGTAGATCGATGAATGTTTGCAATCTTTTCCAATGGTTGACTGTGCAAATCCTTCATTAGTACAATCATACTCCTGTAAACTCTTATAAAGTCAGAAAAGTCCGCACAAGGGTATGTCTGCTAAGGCTCCACAGCTATCTAGGCTGCAATCAAAAATAAAAGGGAAGTGAGAGGTGTTTCTATTTGTCCCTCATTTGACTGCGTTTGTCATAAACATTGATAGACTTGACACACCAGTTTGAAAAGGCTCTTTGTTCCTGGCAGTTCTCCATATATCTCCTTATCCAAAGCGCGTTTAGCGACTTGTGCTCTGAGGTCATTGTGAGCCGTCGTGGCTGCCTCTATCAGTGCAGCGGGAAGTTTGCATGTGGCTACAATGGAAAGAAAGTTGAGCTCTATATTTTGAAGAAAAAATTTATGTTTAGATACTTTTTTACTCACCCGCTATCGCTCCTTGGATTGCAATTAAACAGAGCTAAAAACATTTTTCACAAAAAGTTTTTACTTTTTATAACAAAATTACCAATAGTGCAGGAGGCATTGCAAACCGTTTTGCTGTGTTTATAGGCTTCTGCAATTAGATATAAAAAAGTAGAATATAATTAAAAAATACATGTCTTCCTCAACTTCTACAATTTTGCAAAGTATTGATTTAGGATTTCTTGCAAAGCAAGGTTGAGGATTTCCTAGATTGAGGCGACACTTTCCTCTGCTCTCATCATAGAAGAAAAAAGAAGATGAATTGATGTTAGTATGCAACGACCCATTTTATACACACCGACAAACAATACCAGGTCCTTACTCACCGCTTCAACTAAAATTTTCACAGTCCCTTATTCAATGAAAACAAAACGAAGAATTACGAATCTTTCAGAATATTCCAGGCCATTTGCATCTGTAAAACAGTTGTGTTTTGGTAGTAGCACTGTATTGAATTTAGATATGGGGAAAATCCCTTTTGCATCATTTATAGTGAAATACATTTCGCTGTAGATTGATCTGGTTTGGAGGCAGACTCCCAAATGCCTGCATTTTTTACAGTTGTCTTGACAATCTAATAGATAACTCGTTATTTACCCTTTCAGCTTTTCGTTGTCTTTAGTTACAAATTTTCAAGGTAGCGGACTCAGCGCGTTTTTGACATGGTTCGGGAAGACCATCAAATAGTTTTGGTCGCAGTTTTCCTGTGCTGAGAATAGAACATTGTTCCTCAGTGGCAAACATTTCTTATATATCAAAAATAGTTTTTTCTTTCTGCAAATAGTAATGCGGGGTCCAATTCGAGACTATGATTTGAGTCTAAAGTGTTCTATTCCAAGGCTCATATGGAATTAAACTGACTAGAATACGATTTTGGGTTGCGTAAACACTCATGAAATAAAGAAGATTTTTTGTATCATTTTTGAGTAAGTATGGTGGTTGAGAGAGTTGCTTTGCATCTTTCTTTCCTCGGTTCTAATTAAATTTCACGGAGATCAGAGCCCGACACGCGTTGATTTCCAGCACTTTTGAAAACAAAGTCTTCCATAACTATGCAGAATTTTACGAAGTCTCATTTGACGTTTTGATCAGCATAACAACATAAAAGCGAAAAGGTATTTTTTACTTTTTTAATCGATTGGAGGCCGTTATTGAAAATGATATGCATGGGCGATTCATAGAACGTAAAGACTGCGGACGTATCGACGTCTCTCTAACCCAGTGCTCTTTCGTTTCTCTTACCACCTGCTGTCTCTCCAATGCGCTAGCTATCTTGGTCAAAAGTAATGGCGCCCAGCCTTTGCGTGGTATGAATCACCGATACCATTTTGGTTTTCACTATGTCGAAAACCCCTTAGGCCAACATTCAACCAAATTTGTAGCTTACAACAATTTGACTGCATTGTCGCCACTTATAAAAGGACACATTGACACGTTTGTGATATTAGCGCGATTTCTATCAATATGTTAATGCTGTTCTTGGCCCAAAACAAGAGGGGAGAGAATGGTTTGATTTGCTCTCTTCACTAGGTAAATTTTTTGAGCATTCTAATCGTCCAACTCAGAAAGGTAAAACGCATAACCAGGGTTGAGGGTGGGGCCAGGCGCGCCCGACCTGAGGGATCGTATTGAGGGTAAGACTGAGGGGGGGGGGGTCGTAATTAAGAATCGAATTTGTTAAGTTGGGGAGATACTGCGAAGGTGAAGAAGAAATGCGCTAGTCCGGTGGATGTCGCTCACATGAAGGAATGACGGTCGTAAACAGCATACTGATTGTTTCCACAATGGAAGTTTCAGCCAAAATTCAAATCTTCATCTCTTTTACCTTGACATATGAGGTAACCAAGGAAGCTTGCTGTGTTAAATGGGCATCATTTCCATAATCAGCATGTCAAATTACCTCTATGCGCTCTATAAACCATTACCTACTGCAGGTTCTAGTGTTTCTCAACGTCTAAAAAGCGTGATTTTCAAACGTAATCAACTTGGTTTTAGAAGTGAGAAAAGTCAGCTTTTGTATACTCATAACAAAGTAATGTTCTCTACAAGTCTATGCTACAAATCGGGCTTCATATCGCTTTCAAACAGTGAAGTAAGAAATGCTGCCAAAATTTCAACCGGCGCGTTTTTCACGTTGAGTGCTTCAACTGCTCGCATTAGCACAAACTCGAAACAAGTCGAATCAAGCTCAAACACTTACTGTGGAATCTTCGAGGGCTGAGCTAGCGAATCACATAAAACTTGGGTAGAAAAGCTTTTTCGGGAATAAAGTTAATGGGGTCAGGCGCAACCCCTCAAAAGCTCAGGCCGCCTGAGCTTTTGAGGGGTTGCGCCTGACCCTCCTAACTTGCCTTCAAAATTCAAAAATCGCCCCTTTTTCAATATGGGTATTGAGCGCAAAGCCTCTTCTTGTTATATTGAAAATTTGGAGCCAAACATTCCACCCCTGTGAAAATTATAGCTCTGAAAAGAGGACTGTCCAAATCTAAAACTTGCCGTCAAGTTGCGTGTGGATGTGCAATCGCAGAAAGTCGGGCCTACAGACTTTCAAAAAATAGAACCTGCAGTAAGGCTGGTCTTCTTAAAATATAACAACCTGAGGACGTGGAGGTGAAACGGAGGGTCGTTTAGGTTCTTTCACAGGAGGGGGGGGGGTCGTTTTTGAAGGACTTGTGCCTGACCTCTTGCTCAACCCTGCGCATAACTCTCCGATAATTATGCTCCGAACGATCCCAGTGGGTTTGGTGTTGGTCTAGAAACCAACAAATTCGGGGACAGGTTTTAGAATACATAAGTTCTCAAAACTTTTTACATATTGTAGTTTGGAGTAATATTGTATTAGGTTGGAAACTAAGTTTTGCAACTGGTCTCATAACTTCCCTCTCACTCAACATGGCGCACTCAAATTTTGCCACCGCGTTGGCTATTGCGTAAGCTACAAGCGCAGCTGCTGTCCTACCAAATCCTGACGTCGCAGGGAGGGTTACGGTAGGTGCATGGTATGAAGGGGAAAAATTCAAAGTTTGACGGATTTGGATGGAACTTAGCATAGGGGTGTTATCCGACATGCTGATCACGAAAACGATAGTGAAGATGCGTGATAAGGGCTTTTTGGTGGGATTATTGTCGGTGTACGATATGGGATCCCACCTTAAACAAGCAAAAATGCGTTGATTCAACAAATTGATGTGATATTCGCGTTTTGCAGGTCAAATAACCTTACTATGTAAAGTCTCGGCGGAATTTGCGCTTCGGACTCTTTAGTCATTGACGGTCGTCCCCAGCAGCTCTTGCGGACATCGACTCGCTCGACTTTATGAGGACGCCAAATCTCGACATGCCCCTAAATTTTGTTTCTTTCTTAGTAGGCCAAAGGAGCCAACCTTCAGCAATAATTTGTAGACGGATTCGGATTACTGCACATGGTCTAGGCTGCCAAAGGCTTCATTTTAGCTTGAAACCCCAAAAATTCTCAAATTTCACTAGTTTTCGAAAAACGCCTGAAACTTTTATATTTCGTGTTCAAAATTTAGACAATTTGTGCTCACTTGTAGCTCACATTGCCTTCTACATAATGCCAAAGTTTGAGTGCGCCATATCCAAAGAGAGTGAAGTTATGAAACCAGTTGCAAAACTTAGTTTCCAACCTAATATATATCTTCGGCAATGCACGTGATAGCTTTTTGTTTTGAATAACGATTGCTGAATGCACAATGAAAATGGGACAAGTGAGAGGCTTTAACTAGCTTTCAATTCCACAGCTTGGAGGCTATTTGAAGTGGAATTTCTGGTGTAGGCAAGGAAGGAGTACTGCTGTGTACTGAACAAAGAGATGGGTAATTTACCTTTGAAATAAATTTAACCATATTTACCGTTCATTTTCAAAATTTTCCACAGAAGAGGAAGGCGATTTCAAATGGGTTACTGAATTTATTTTGGCTTTATAGTCGCCATAAGGATAACAGTCACCTTGGGCTACATATCTATTCAAAAATCCTTTCAATTTTTAAAGTAAAAACTTGGCAGATTGATGATTCGCGCAGTTCACTTTCTGGCACCAATTTTGCGTAAAATAGACTTTTTGCTTAATTTCCAAGCTAAAATCAATGTTTTTCGGATTCCTTGTTGAGAAAAATTACGTCTTTGTGAAAAATGCAATTACCGACTCATTTTAGCGCGTAAAAAGTCGTTTGAATCGATTTAACCGCACAGTTTTTGATGGTTCCACTTACTGGGTAGGGTTGTGCTTTTGCACAGTTTACTTACATGCTGATAGGGTGCTATGACAAAAATTCTAGATCAAGACGTCGGATACACCTTGCTGTACGAATTTCGTGACAGACAGAAGACATACAGAAAGACAGGCAAAGACAGACGCTTAGCGCTTTATTATAAGTCATGATAACTTAGTTTTAGATAGACAAGAAATTCTTTTTGCGATTTGCGATTCATGAGGGTTTGGTACAACTTATTCATATTTGAGTGACTGCACTGAAAGAAACTCATCATGGTTCTGGAAAACAAGAACGCTTTAGACTATGATGATAGTCTTGGGTTCAATTCCTGTATGCGGCACCATTTGCAAGGGAGAAAAAATGCTATTCATCGAGCGTAAAGAATGTTTGCGACTGACTGAGAAAATTTTCCATTTCGCACAGATTTTTCTGCAAACAGATCTATTTAAACACCTTCCAAAACGATGTCAAAAAGGTGCATAAGGAGGGTAATTGGGAATTTCGTAACAAGGTCAGGGAGAAGCTGAGAGGCTGCGAAAGGCAGGTTGTGATGTAGAGTGCCCCACAAGAAGGTACAAGTTGCAGCCACTCAGGAGCAAAGAGCTCAAAAACAATGATGCGATCCTAAAAACTAAAAATGGGTTTTTTAAGCTTAA